TGGTTCAGAGGTTAAGAGCACTGGCTGCTCTTCCAGAGGTCCTGAGTTCAATTCCCAGCAACCACATGGTGGCTCACAACCATCTGTAATGAGATCTGGAGCCCTCGTCTGGTGTGCAGATATACATGGAAGCAGAATGCTGTATACATAATAAATAAATAAATAAAATCTTTAAAAAAATACATCTCAAAAAAATTTAAAGGACAAAGTAACAGCTAAGGAGATGGCTCAGTGAGTCACAGTACTTGAGTTCAAGTAAGGACATGAGTTCATATCCTCAGCACCTATCTGAAAACTTAAGATTGGTGGTACCTGTAACTCCAGTCTGACAGGGTTAGAGACCACCAAAAACCTGGTAAAAATTTAAAAGATGAAATACATAAACTGTATATAGAGAAAAACTATAGTCAACAAACTTTTGTTTAAACAAGTGTAAATGAAATCAAAGACAACTATTTAAAAGAATTAAGCTGGTTTGTAATCTCAGAACTCAGGAAGCTGAGGCAGCCTTACCTACATACTAAGTCTGAGGCCTTAAAGTTCTGGCAAAAAATTGTCTCAAAGTAAACAAAAGGGGGCTAGAGAGATGGCTCAGTGGCTAAGAGAAATGTGACTGCTCTTCCAGAGGACCCAGGTTCAATTCCCAGCACCCAGATGGCAGCTCATAACCATCTGTAACTCCAAGGGATCCTCTGGCTTCTACAGGCACTAGGTACATGTGGTGCACAGATATTCATGCAGGCAAAAGATCTATGCACATAAAATGATTAAAAATAAGTTAAAAAATAAGTAAGATGAGCCAGACAGTGGAGATGCACACCTTTAATCCTAGCACTTGGGAGGCAGAGGCAGAGGCAGGCAGATCTCTATGAGTTCTAGGGGCAGCCTGGGCTATGACATAGAGAAACCCTGTCTTGAAACCAACCCACCCCCACAAAAAAAGTTAGGAATAAACCTAGATGACTACCATAAAGGCAAGGAATAGATATATTCAGGCAGGCAGGCATGCATGCAGGCAGGCAGGCAGGCACGCGCACACACACACACACAAAACACACACACAAAACACACACACAAAACACACACACA